GGAAATCCAACTCCAGCTGTGTTCAAGGTCATCCAGATGTGTAAACAATGACTCATTGGTGTTAAATTTCACAGAAGGACGAGACAAAGGAAGTTAAACTTTGAAGCTTTTTCTTCAAAATTAACGCATTTCTTTTGTTTTTTTTCAGTTTTAAGTATTTTTTATGTTTAATTACATTTATATCAAAAATTGCTAGGAACTAAAGCGATTAAGGTAGATCTAGCTGTCCTTTACATCCATAAACGTTATATGTCAGTTAAACAAATGGAGTGAGCTTTGAGCGTTCCATGATTTTTGGAGACTGCCTATACACGGGCTTCCTAAACAAGCCTATATGTATGTTTGTCCAAGAAATTTTTGAATGAAATACAAACCGCACAACTTCAAAATCGCATAAAAATAATCCGCATAAAAAGAGACCTTACAGTATTTAAGTAAATTCAAAAAGAAGTAAATAAAGATTATTCAATAGCTCATTAAGTGAATAAAAAGAATTAATTTTATTTACAAAAAATAATTATTTTTTGTATTCAGGTACAGGTGCCATTACTAATGTTGGTTGTGGTAAAGGAAGATATTATAGTGTGAATGTGCCTCTTCATGATGGAATTACAGATTTTAAATTCTGCAATATTATCACAAGGTAAAATTAATTTAAATATTATATAACTGTACAAATTGATTTGCTGTTGTATTTCAATTTGATTTACGTGAAAATACAGATTATGTATCTCATGCATTGTGAAAGTTATTAGTTCTTTTATCAGACTTTGAAATTTTCAAATTATTTCTTTTTAGTCATATTAGAAATTTAATAATTAGAAATAATTAGAAATTAAGAATGTGTTTAATTTAATTTGTTTAATTTTCATATTAAACAAATTAAATTAAACACATTCTTACACATTGGTCAAATGGTTGCATGGTATTATTTACATCTTGGATAATTTAGATTTGAGTCTGATTTAACTTTTCACAAGTAATTTGAGTTTCAACCTTATTTTTTGTATCTCACACTCAGATTAATTCCATTGTAAATTGATCTTGCTTATATAATTAGTGGTAGGCATACACTGGAAACTGTAAACAAATTATAAAAATGAACACTTGAGTTGATGCTACTGAAAATAATAACTTTTAGTGTTGTTATTTTATCTCCTTAAACTATAGAAATGTTTTTTGTTTTATCAATCAAGCTTTTTCAGACAGAAGAACAAGGATTTAAATGGAACATATTTGAAAATAAAGAAAGTTTCAAAAGAGTACAAAAGATTGGATTATGATAGAAAAAATTTTTAACAATAAGAAATATTATTTGGAGGGGAGGGAAAAAATGTTTCCATATACAGTAAGACCCCACTTATGGTGCTTTGCTTAACGCTGATTCGATATAACACGGTCTGCTCAAAGCCTTAAAAAAAATAATAAAAGCTCAGAATTTACCCAATTTAAATTATCACAGCATTTTATTGATTCGTATATAATACGATTATTTACAAACACGAACCAATCAGAAAAAGGTGGCAAAAAGGTGTACTTTCTTTAAATCTATGTTTGTTTGGTGCAATTTTGGAAAAAATATAACATTGTGGATGTCATAGGAAATATTGACTTTGTTTGGCAAGAATTAACTGATAAATGCACAAACGAAGTGTGGAATTTGTTATGGCTGAAGGTATCCAAGAATTCTCGACGAGAAGAGCCTATCGCTGTATTGTTAGGTTGACCAAACTCAACCTAATCAATACAGCAAGACTAGTAGAAGTAGACGAGCAGGATATTGAGGAGTTACCATTGGTTTCTGATGAGTCTTACCAACGACGACCTTCGAGAACTGGCAGAACATGGAATTCACGTAGAACTGGAAAATAGAGATTCTGAAAATGAAGAACCCAAAAAATTTCTCTACAGATTTCTTTAGTAAAAATTTGGTAATTATAACCGGAATCATTGATCAAATTGTAGTGAATGATCCAGATTTTGAAAGGAGTGCGAAAGCAAGACGAGGCATTTTGGATGCGATCTTCTGCTACTGACATTTGTTTAAGGAAAGAAAAAAGCAACAAATGAAACCTCATGACTTTATTGCAAAAAAACAAGAATTTCAGAAAAGTCAGGAACTTTATCACAAAAAATGAACTTTATATTTTTGTGTGCATATGTTTATGTGTTATTTAACATATATTATTATGCAAATTAATATAAAAATAACTTAAAATTACAGTAAAATTTGTTTATTTTTGGTTGTATTTCCCTATTCCCTTTCCCTATTTATTCTACGTTAAAATGACCTTATTTAATGCTGTTTTGCTTAGCGCTTTGTCATCAAGGAACGCATCCCCTACGTTAAGCGGGGTCTTACTGTATTACTCATTTTACCAATATTGATGTTACAAAGCTTTAGTATTAAAATTTCTAAGAATTCTCTTGCAAAAATTAGAGTTATTTTTGGTGATAATAAGCAATAAGTTGGATACCATCCCAGTCTGAAAAACAGCCTTCTGTTATTAACAACTTAACTAATTCTATTGTAACCCTTATGTTCTCTAATTCTTTTCTGAAACATATGAATTGTAGCACTATTTAAAAGGTAGTACATGTGAACAGAGGATCAGCATCTCTTTCATACTTTGTCAAGACTGACACCACCATGTCTCAGTTGATGGAGCCACGATGGCAAGTTTAGTTGGGTTTAGAATAGGCCACGTGAGTGGCCGCATGAGTAAGCAATCGGGTTCTGGATGGAGACTGAGAGACAGCCCGACAGAAGTGAAGTACTCAGATACTAAAGGTAACTACTAAATAACCATTTAATTTAAACCAAAGGAGTACATGATACAATATACAATATGTATATATTGTGTTATATTGACTTAGCCTATCTATCTAGCAGTTGCAAGAGAGAGTTTACAATTGTTCGCGAGTTGGGAAATACCTGCGTTGATGGTGATTCTTCTTGATTTGAATTTTGTGAGGACTCAGATGTCTAAGTCTTGAGGTTGTCCTGATTTGGATCGTTTGGGACAGGTCTGGATCTGAAAAGTTCTTCTAAGCACAGTTGAGGGTAATGTGAAAATCCGATAGAGTATGATTAGCACTGACACAGGAAAATTTTGATGACTTTAATCCTAGAGGGACAGGCGATGACTGCTCCTACAGCCATTAATTATGACATTAAAATCGGTAATGCATGGCCGAGAGGTCAAGGGATCACAGGAAAGCATTGCTTCAGCCGTCGAGAAATTGTAAATCAAGATGTTCTCAGGTAGTAGATTACAACAATTATTGAATAGGTATGATGAAATCGACAACTGATTTTTGTTAACATTTGGATTTTCACATACAGTACTGGATTAATTATCTGGCAAACTTGGTATTGGTAGTAGTTAAGATTTCTGAATTTTCTAGTTTTCTGGACATAAGCTAAGTGTATAGTTAAGATATAAAATAAACAATGGAAAGTTAAGAACAAAATTGTTTTTAACAGATACAAATTAATATACTTTTAAAGTAGAATTTTTTTGATCATTATTAATTTTCTTAAAATATTGAATACCATCTATAATGCAATATTTAGGGTGTAAATTAAATAAGGAAAATGAAAAACGTTATGGAACTGGCATTGTGTGACATGTATGCCATGGAGACCAAAACAAAGCAGCTGCACAACGAACTAATGAATGCCAAATTCAAAATTATCCAATTTTATTATTCACCTTTCCTCACTTATTGCAAAATCTCAAATTCTCTTCCTATTCTTTTTCGTTCTTGGCATCTATTCATGTAAAATAACAAGACGTGCAAAAAAACTTCACTCAAATATTGCCATAAGCACTTTACCATCATTACCTACTCTACTTTGCAATGACAAACCCTCAACATCTTTACAAAAACCAGTAGTATATAAAATATAAGTTCTGGTATAAATACTACTTTTTACATTGGTACTGTGTTCATATTTTATAGAAAAGAATTAGAAAACATAAGGGTGATACAACAAACAACAAAATTAGTTAAACTATTAGTAATAGAAGATTGTTTTTCATACTGGACTGTATCCAACTTATTACTTATCATTACCAAGAGAACCCTAATTTTTTCAAGAGAATTCTTAGAAATTCTAATACAAAAGCTTTGTAACATCAATATTGATAAACTAAGTAACATATGGAAAAATTTCCCCCCTCCTCTCAGCTTAATACTTGTTTAAAATGTTTTTTACTATGATCCTAGCTTTTAGATCCCCTCAATATGGGTTCCTGTCCATGGTGAGGGACCTTCTAGAGATGGTTTAGAAATTCTACTTTACCATTTCTGGGATCTGAACGCCCACCCATGTATTTGCCGTGCGTGGTGACCTGCTGGAAAGGGTGATCCTGGTAGTTGAGGGGCAACATAACATCCCCAATACACTGCTTTGGCCCTGCTTCAGATAAGTGAGAGGCTCAAATCAGGCTCCATTTGAGTCAATCGGATGGTCGTTGAGTCATTCTTGACCTCGGCCTGGAGTCAACCGATTGATGCAGACCGGGCGGACATGACCCTGCTTGATAGTTTTGTCACATCAGTCAAGATGTGCTCTTCTCAACAGCATTCTGAAGGTATAGCTCCTGGGAAACCCTGGTGTGACAGTCTATGAAAGTACTCCATGTGACGGCATCCCCTTGTTGGGCCCCATAGTGGGTAGGGTCACTGGGAGCTGAATAGTAATTTTTTAATCGTGGATTCAAAAAATTCAAAACATCCTGGCACACCAACAAAACAAATAAAAAAATTTCCAGTACGCCAACATACTTAGTAGTGCACACAACTGGAGAAAAACCCTTGTCTAAAGCTTCCCTTTCCTGATTCAAAAACTATTTGAATCGACCATTGGGCATTTGAAAAAAATACAAAAATTGAGGTCGTGACCTACTGGTAGAAACAGCTTCTCCTCAACAACAATCAGCAAAACTTTTAGCAACAAAGACCCTGGAAGACATGGAAGTCATTGTCACACCACATGGAAGTTTAAACTCATCTTGCAGTGTAATATCAAAGATCATTGGTCTTTCAGATCAAGATGTCACTGCTTTCCGACGTATTTCCATTTGTTGAGATAAGAAGTTAATACCAACCAAACACCTAATTCTGACATTCAACAAGCTGACATTGCCATCTGCCATTACAGCAGGATACCTGCACTGTTCAGTTCGTCTGTACGTTCCAAATCTGCTGTGCTGCTTCAAATACCAGCTGTTTGGACATTCACAGGCATCCTGCCGAGGGACGAGTATATGTGCACAGTGTAGAACTGAAGGTTTTTTGGTTTTTTAACTCATTCCGCCCTGTGGGCACTAAGAGGGCCTCTTTTTGCAAGCCCATAATGGGTTCAGCCAGGCCCACAGCGGGGCTGCCGGGTGGCGAAGGATGAGGCCCGAACATATCCGAATGGACCACCTCCCCAAAAAATTCCTGGGGATTTTTTGACTTGTTTGGATTTGAACCCGGGCCCCCTAGAGCAGTAGACTGCCACCTTGACCGCTTGGCCATCCAGCCACTGGAACTGAAGGTCACAAGAGTACTGAATGTAAAAGTACTCCATGCTGTTTGAACTGCAAAGATGCCCACCCTGCCTACTCTCGGAAATGCCCTACATGGCAG